TCCATTTCTGAGTGCCCTGCTTTGAGGATGAATGCGGGTTGATAATTCCATCTACTGTTTACAGACACAATACTCCCAGTACTCTTGATAGTGTGGAATAAAAAATGATTTTTGCTTTACTGTTTTACTGTAAAACCATGAATTGCTCCACCCACTCTTTCCCTTAGAAGTACTATGGAGGCACTTGAGCCAGTAGTATTTATATGGCTCAGGTGAATAGGAGTAACATATCTTGTCGTTCCTATCTTGAGACACCATTGTCCAAAGAATGAGAAAGAAAACTTGATTGACTTAATCGCTTCATTCATTCCTGTAGCTGTTCAGTCAGACTCAGGGTGAACAGTTAGGCTGTCAAGTCCCTACTAGTTTATACAGATGCTGCATCCCTGCCCTTCCCCGCCCCATCCCCTTCCCATCCCCCACTAACTCTCCTGGAGCTTCCTCGTGTCCCACACACCTATTGCCATCCTTGTGCTGGACTTCACTGTCCCCTGCCTGGAGCCTTCTTCCCCCTTCTCTGCACGCCTGGTCTTCCTGTCCTCTCTTGGAGCACTGTTCAGTTGTCACTTTGTCACCTGTCACCCAGGCCCTCACCAACCACCCATTTAAAGTGCTTCTGCGTCCACTTCTCTGGTTCTCTGCCTCCCTCTTCACTCCAGCACTGATCAACTGACCCAGCTTCATACTTTGTCCACTGTCTTTCTCCATCCCCAGAATATAACACCCGAGAGAGCTGAAGTTTCATCTGTCTTTGTTCACTACTTGGCCCCCAGTGCTAAAACACTGCCTGGCACTCAGCGGCCCTGAAAAACTATTGAATAAATTAATAAACAAGCGAACTCTGGAGGATTCACGGCAGAATCCCTACAGCCCAACTGCTGTGTAGGGTAAATGATGTTTGAAGGAATAATTAATTAGACAGTTGTTCTAATGCTACAGTGCTATTAAAAAATCCTGTAACGGGGTACTTTGGAGGATAAGAGAAGGGGACCTAACCCCACAGGCAGGGGTGCTGAACTTGGATTTGTAGAATGGGTGCAAGGGAGAGGATGAGCAAAGCCCCTGGCTGTGACAGCTGGAGGAGTCGGGTAGGGAAGCGTGGCAGGTAGGGGGAAATACAGCTATTTGCCAAACCTGTGCTCTTCTAAATGCTGTGCAAAAGCCCTTGGAGGGCGTCCGAGCAGGGGATGTGAGCCCATTAGCATGTAGCAGGCAGTGATGAGCGAGAAGGTTGGAGGTCACTAAAAGCAGAGTGACCATGAGGTGGCTGTCACATTAGCTAGGTGAGAGAGATGAGGGCTTCAGCGGGGCATGGCGCTGCAGCTGGGAAGAGGGCAGGAGCGCAGAGTCCTGATGGGCTCAGAGAGGAGGAGCAAGTGTCCCTCCTGGGCCAGTTAACAGGCTTTGGGAGGACGCTGGCCAACTAGGACTGCGAGACTCTCGGATTTCTTTCACCACTTGCTTAGCATACACTGGATGTTATATATATGATCCTTCAAAGTGGCATCAAGCAGGATCGAGGGACACGGAAGGAAAATCAGGTGCACTGAATAATCCCTTCCTTGTTTCCAAGTTTCTATCTGAATTTAATTTTTAAAAATTTGGTGTAAAGCTTTCAGTGCTGATTAGTGACTTTGCTACTCCACCCTTAGTATTTGCCATTTTGTTTTTACCTTTTGAATAAAGTTATATCCACTCTGCAGAATTCTTCAATGATAAGTTCACATATTTTATATCACCTAGGACCTATACTGGGATTAACATATTTTAAGATTCAAATTATAGTTGATAGATCTTGAGTTAAAGAAGTTTGATTTGTTGAAATTCTACATGTTGCAGAGTTTTTAATCTTGAGGCACATAGAAATTATTTTTGAAAAATTAAGTAAATTTGATTATATCCATCTTAATTGGTTGCATACAAAACATATGCAAATTATAAATGTGTCTGCCAGGAAAATGCCTAAGAAAGGACCATAATTAATTAAAATGGACCCAAAAGATTATAACTCTACTTTGGAAAATTATTTGATCCAAACTTACTAAATCATAGGATTAATAATAATGGAATTGTTTTAAAACTTTTTGAGCTACCAGAATTTTAATTTTAGGAATAATAAGTATTAGTGTCTCTAGTAAATAATAAATATATCATGTTTACCTCCCAAGTCAAGTATAAATAAGTTCTTAAAAGATAAGATAAATTAATGAATGGGTCTATGTCATTTGTCCATTGCATTATAAATTTATATTTGTACCAGAAACCACAAGACTATTCCAGTGTAGACATCTTATCCAACTTCTAACAACATACCCTCCTTACAAAATCAAGTTTAGGGGCTGGGGATATAGCTCAGTGGCATAAGCACCTGCATGGCAAGTGCAAGGTCATGAGTTCCATCCCTGGTACTGCAAAAAACAAACAAACAAACAAACAAAGATCCTCTAAAATCAAGTTTAGAGCAAAGAAACCTTAATTTGTAAGTTTAATTTTAATTACCACAATGGCACAGATATATTATGGTGTTATTGATCTAAAGATACTTAAAACACATAGAAGTAAAATTTTGTGCATTAAAATAACTGTGGCATGTGTGTGCATGTCCTCACATGTACATGTACATTTCCCCATGTGTGCGTCTGTGACTTCTGTTCAGCTGTCCTTCCCAGCTTCTTCCTGGTGAGAGATGACACTCTCCTTGTATCCCAAACATTTTTCTTGCCAATGGCATCAGAGAAGCATATGTCCATTTCTGGTAGCCAAGAATATACTCTAGGCAGTAGAACTGTGAATATAAGATGTATATTCACAAGTTAGAATTGATGTTAAATCTTAAAAACTGCCTTTATTTTCAGAACTTACCAAAAGCAGCACTGGTTTCTTAAAAGGGAAAGATATTGCCTTTTAAAGTTATCCTTTGATTTCCTTAAATATTGTGTTAAAGTATTACAACATTTTATTAAATGTTATGAATTTTAGAGTTGTGATTAGTCTTTCTAATGCTCCAAGTTGAGGTGATCTTGCAATAGAGATCAAATTAGAACACACCACATATGTTACTCTCTAGTTAAAGTATTTCATATAAAAGTTGCTCTTATTTTCATGTGAAGTAGTCTGTTCCAGGGTTATATGTCGATGTAATGAAACATCGAATTTTAGTGGATGGCATTCTTTCAAGTGGCAAAGTTAGGTTTACAGTGGGAAGGGAACCTTTGTGAGCTGAACATACACATGCTCAGTCTAAACATTGAATTAATGTGCTCCTTGCTATACGATTTCCTTTCTAACGTCAACATTTTAAGAAGCAAAGTGCCCTGGAGACACTTGAGAAAACAGAATCTGAGACAATGATAAAACCCAAGTCTTGTCTTCATGCTCAGATCTCCTAATCACCACTGCCTGCAAGCTCTGCCTTTACGTGGCATTAACATTTGCCTCCCAGGCAATTTACCCATATGAGGAAATGATTCAACATGTTTATGTGCTGAGGAAGGGAACGGGGAGAGGGGAGGCTGCGATGGACATGCAGGGGTAACTGATTGAGAGAGATCCCAGAAGGTGAGGCCAGGATGGATTCCAGAGTCTTCCGGGTGAGCTGGCCTGGTATAGACATGGGACTCTTCTTCCTCTGATACAGGAAAGGGGTCCTTGTGGGCTTGGGTTGATGAGAGATGTGATATCAAGGGAATTTATACTTGACAGTCTGTTTTCTCTGCAAAATATAAAAGAGGGAGAATTTTAAATAGATGCAATAAATGGAGAGGAAGAGTGTCTGACCGCAGATATGCTGCAAACAAGCGCATTAGAAACCTAGTTGGTGGGTTAAATCAAATAGGAGTATGTAAAGGTATGGTGCATAGCATGCTTTGAATAATCTAAAACTGATTATGGGAGAAAAGTGTGAGTCTTCCTTTGAGGATTACAAGATAACTGTGGGGAACAGACTCTGTGTTCCAGAGCACTATGTATTTTTAATAAAATAGAATGACACAAGAGCAAGTCTTCCTCTAATGACTGCCCTAATGCTTTATCTAATGTTACTGAGGATGAGTGTGAGATACTGATTAGCTAAAACATCACTCATTGAAAAGGAGGAAGCCATTAGTCAAGGGTAATGCACTAAAGAACTTTTATGTAAAGTGATAACATCTGCAACTTCACTAAAACATACAAAAGTAAATATATTTTTGAAAGAATTAGCAAGTACTTAATTTTTTACTTTAAAATAGACCTAAAGCATCAGAATGATAGCTATATTTCTATGTTCTTCACCACTCTTCCATAGCCGTGCCTTGCTCTAAATAAAGGCAAAAGTACCTTAACACTGGCTCTGTGATTGAAAAACTGCTAAATCTCAAAACTGTCACATTTACATTTTCTGGATAAATATTCTCATCCATTTCACTAAATGCCGCGTTCACTTGCCACCCAGCATTGTTCAGACTTAGTGCAAGCTTGGAGCATCTTTTCTTCATGTGCATTCAAGATACCGCACTTGGTTCTGGCCTCCTCTTGTTTGTAAGCAAGGCCTTGTGCCGATCATCTGACCACCTTTCCTCAGAGAAAGATGGAACAGAACATGTTTCTTTGTGATGCTAAGCAATTATTTGCAAATCTGCCTCCCGAAGTCCTGCAGCTATAGAAGTCTTGGAGTGTGTTGCTTACCTGGGCAACGGTGTGCATTTTAACTGCTTCTACCTACAATACCCCAGCCCTCTAAGTGAGGTTGATGTGATCATTTGCAAGTATTTTCAGACACAGATGCACTGGTACGGTGAACATTCTCAAGGAAAAGATGAAATCTACTGCATGTACTTCTTTAGAAAAGAATAAAATAGCTTAAAATCTATTTTGTTCCTCTAACTGAAAAGCTTCCATGAATATCTGCATACTTCAGTGTGGCAAGGAGGACTTCATGGACAGTTTTAACTGATCATCTTAGCTTAAATGGCTATTGTCTTATGTTAACTGAGGTGTTTTATTTTTTGTTTTTTTTTTAGGGTCCTCTGGGGCCTCCGGGACAAAAGGTAGAGTATACAACAGTGCTGTGAAAGTAATTATACTCATAGCCGGTGGTGGGAGAGAGCTACTGTAAGCTGCTGAAGTAGTTGGTCTGTTTTGTACATTCTCCTTTCTAAAAACACCGTCATGTAATGTAGCCTGAGATTTCTAATCAACTCCACTGTACAAAATTCAGTGTATCCAGAACACTCTCTTTATGCTATATGCTAAACCTACAAGTTGTTGAATTCTTAACTCAAACACTAGTAGAACCTTGAGACAAAATTGGAAATGTCAAGGATCATAAGACATTAAAAATTGAATTCATGACCTTTCTCAAATGGATAATTGGCAACAGCCACAAGATGGATTAGAATAAACGATGTGTTTGTGGCTTGGTTCACAGCATTAGAGTTGGCTGCCCAGTGTCCCCCTTTGTCCCTGTAACCTGAAAAGTGACTTTCTGGTTGTTCTTCAGTGAGAGTGACCATGACATTGTGCTGGGAGGATCTAGGAGTTCTGAAACTACACCAACACCACAGTGGAAACTGTGTCTCTAGCAGGTAGATGACCCTACGCCCACAAACATCACTAGGTCCCACTCTGCACTCCCCACCAACCTCCCACCTTGCGACTTGAAGAAAACAATTGTATTATAACAGGTGGGAAAGTGATTATTCTTTATCTTTGGAATCCATCAAAGACGGAGACTTTTTATCCCCCACATAGTGGGCATGTGGCATCTGTTGAAACATAATCCTACAAACCAAGCCAAAGCCAATGAGTTATGAGACACCTTCTGTGTAGGGACACTGTGTCCCTCATGATAACGTCTCTATTAAGCATGGTGTAGAATTGTAAAGCTACCCTAATCCACGTTTGACCAGGATCACATTACTGCTTCAGGCTTCGGAAGCCCTTTAATGAGCCACTCTGTAATGTCACGGAGCGCACTACAGACCGGACTTGCCACCTCGATTGGTTTTGCATATAATTACTATATTTAGAACAGTTTTATCACTACTATTTTTAAAAGCTTTTCCCCATTATTATTAAAGAAATTTAATATACATGTAGTAAGGGAGAAAATCTGTTTTCTTGTTCTAGACAAAGAATAAGCACATTGTATTTAAAAATGGTTTCTCCAGAGCTGAAAAAGGAGGTGTGAGAGAGGAAAATGACATCATGCTTGCTAACAGTCCTATATTCACTCACATCCCCCGTAGACCTTCTCAGGGAGTAACTAGCATTTCGAGTCTTGCTTCACCCATCCCCACCCAGCCGCTCCTCCTGGCCCCGCAACGCTGTGCACACACCTGCCTTCATCCTGTTGTGCAGAAGCTGTGCTTTTCTTGGCCTGTGTGCGACATTTGTGGCACCTGTTGGAGTTTACTATGGGAGTCACACTCCAGTGACTGAAACTTGCTCCCCACAAGGCCAGGGGCTCCAGATACAAGAAATTTGAGTTTGTAACACAGTTCCCTTATTTAGTTGTGGAACAAGAGGTTATGATTTCAAATACTTTTTGTTTACATATTTAAATTTGTGAAATTCAAGAATTATGGTCTCTGTGAGACTTGTTTCTGTTGGAACTAAGGTTATCTTTTTATTATGATATTGGGTATTGAACCCAGGCCTTCACACTGAGCCACATCTGCAGTCCTTGCTATATTTTTTTGTTTTGAGATAGGGTCTTGCTAAGTCACTAAGTTTTCCAGGTGCAGCTCATACCTGTGATCCTCCTGCCTCAGCCTCCCAAAGTGCTGATATTACAGATGTGTACCACCACACTTGTCTTTATTTCTTAACAAAAAGGCTTAGAGACATTGAGATATGGATCTCAATTTATAATATCAAATTCTTTGAAATCATACTAAGGTTAAGTGTATTTTGGGGAATGAAGTCAAATTTTAACTCTAGTTTCTGAGAAAGCTTGAAGAATCTATCTATATTATCATATATTTGAACATAATGGCTAAGATCTGAATAGCATAGTCTTAAAATTTTTCTAAGAGAAGTTGTATTTTAGCAAGATACCATTACAGCTGATAGAACTGACATAATATAAATGTAGAATTGAAATATTTTATGATTACAATATCAACCTATTTTAATTATGTGTCTCTTTAGGGTTCTCTTGGAGCACCTGGAATTCCAGGCATGAATGGGCAAAAGGTGAGTTCTGTGCAGTAAGGGATTGCTTTTACAATGTAGAAACTATAAGTCAAGTCTAGTGAGTGATCTTAGTCATAGGTTCATATGCCTATATAAACATCATATATACTTTTGAAATTCAGGAAAATTCTGATACAAATGATCATATTGGTTTAATTTTAGAGATGTTTAGAGACTAAAAATTTTCTGTGTAAGTAGTTTGGCTATATTAAATTTTAATAAGTTCTATATGTGATACAACCACCTTTCTCATATATAAGATAGGTAAATATTATATTTAACACTCACTGTGATAAATACAATGTCCTCTAGTTTATTCTGGTGATGATTAAATGAATATGTATTATTTCTTTGATTAAAGAAATTAATTCTCACAGAGGAAATCCATTAAAACCTTCTGAATCCAGAAGCAAGCTCTTTTTGTTAAGTAAAATTAGGGGTTAAATAAATATGTTCCAAACCCTAGTACCACACTTTCGTGGTGCTGTAATAATGAAACAAAGTAAAGCTAACAAAAAGGCAAAACAAAGACCCCAGCACCCTGCATACAAGTCTCTGCATGTGTGCATTATCCCCATGCTGCGTTTACCTGCGGGATGTCCAGCGTGAGCCCTGGTAAGCCTGCCGCCCTACTCCCCAGTAGCCCCGACTGACCGGCTGTCCTGTCTGGAACCTGTACAGAGACCAGGAAAGCCATGCAGATCTAGCAAAGCCTGGGGCTAGAGCCAGGGGACCTGAGCTACGGACTTTCCTGTCTCCCTCAGAGTTCTGGCCTGGCCCTGGGACTCCTGGGACTTGTGTGCTTATCTTCTCGGAATAGTTTAAATCCATGCACTTGGAACCAAATTCTGAAATCAGAAACAGCTCAGCCGTTACAGAGAGAACCAGCCTGCCCAAGAGCCTTTCCATCTCGCCGCCTCTTCTCTAGCAAGGAGACGTAGTTAGGCACAGTTTTCACCTTGCGCTGCGAGCGTGAACCTGCCACTGAGAGGCTGTGTGAATTTCAGAACGTCCTTGATTTCTTAGCCTCAGTTGCCTCCTTTGTAAGAGGGAGAAATAGTAGTGCCTGCCTAATCTGAGGGTCAGTGTGAGGATCGAGTGAGTGGATAGGAAGCCTCATACAACAGTGTGTGATGGGACTGTTAAACTTTCCCTTCATTTCATGTGAATGAAATTCTGGAAATTTGATGAATTTGTGTTTCTAAAGAGACTTTCTGTTTCCAGAATCACTGAATTCCCAAGTGAAATTAATGTTCTCAACCAAGGCTGTGGCTCCTTCCACCCTAAAACCAAACACTGAACATTCATCCATAATTCTCTGTCCAGACCGTAACTCTAGTGCCCACTTAGGAAACTGCATCCATTTGCATCACAGATCTCAGGAAGGACAGAAGATTTACTTTGTGCCTTGACCGTTGCAGATAAGGGATAGAAGTGTGAGCAAAGATTGAAAGTGTATCCCTTCTAAAATGGATCTGAAAGCAACATACATACATCAAGTTGCTTTTAACATTGGCAAAAACCAAAACTTCATATGCCTAAGCCCGTTTTCCTTTTTTTTTCTTTCTTTTTTTTAACTTGGAGACAATCACGAAAATTTATAGAAACCTTTAACCTGAAACAAAACAACTTTAAAACTGTCACATGCACTCTTTTGAAGACCACATAGTCTTTATTTTTGCAAGGAAATATGCAATTTCCTTAGCCAGAGAAAGGAATGTGACATTTTCTTGTCCTAGTCACTGTTGAAGTTATATTTCAAGAAAAGAGATGGTTAATATTTGCAGTTTTATGTTTTGTTATACATCTTTGTGGCATTTTAAATGTGTTCTCTCTAAAACTTAGGGAAACGAAATGATTTCACACTCCTGTGAAAAGATAAGTAAAACGTAGCCGAGTTTGTTTTTCCTAACTGTAGCTCGAGACCTAAAAATTTGTCTTTAAAGCTTCTCTTAGTTCTAGTCATTTTCTAGCATTGTAATGGCTGCTATGTGATCTTTAGGAAAATAGAACAGTCGCCTTCGTAAGAGAGAACCAGTCATTTAGACATAGAAAGAAAGCTGGCAGTAGTGTAATAGTTCTATAGTAAAAGCATCTGAAATGTATCTTAATCTTTTAGAATGTTTTTCTAAGAAGAGAGCCTATAATGACACAATACTTTAAAAAAAAAATAGTGCTTCAATGTCCTTAAAATCTCTTGATAAAAATGTTCTCTTCCACATTACAATTTCACTTTTTCTAAAGAAGTACTTTTGATGCTTAGACCCCGCCCCCCACCATTTTCACACAATGATTAAGGGAAGATGTCAGTTTTGAGCCATCAAAAATATGGCAAACAATAACCAAGAAATAAAGTGGGGCCTTTTTCTTCTCCTGTTTTCAAAAAAGAAAGAAAATACTTTAAGAAAACACTTAGTTTTCTACTATATGTTCTGTAAGTAGTTTTCTACTTATGTTCTAGCCATTCAGAATGACAAAATTGGTGATTGGCCTTGGCCATTACTCGATGACAACCTTGTTGTACATGCATTTTCTTTTAGATTTTGGTCACCCTGACCGCTAATCTTTATTTTTGTGAAGGCTGCCGGTTCTCCCCGTTGTGTTAGAGGGGTGGATTTACATGAGCGGTAAGGTAGTGGCCAGCTCCAGTCCTGATCCTTCTGGGATCGCAACCTGCCAAGAGCGCCTGTGCGTCTTTCTGTGAGAAGTGGGCAGGGAGGGAAAGCGGGAAGGACATGGTCCCCAGAGAGCAGGGAGTTGCTTCATGTCCCTACAGCACCAGTATAAAGAGACAGACCTTGCAGTAGTAGCTAGAATACCATACAAGACCCTCAGCAACTGCCAAGCCTCCAGCTTAGTGTCGAGCTCTACACATCTCTCAGATGAACCCTAGGCTTGCTCAAGCCAGAAGCGGGTGGCCAGTTGCATTTGTCACAGGAGGACAGCGAGTATGTGGGCGACCAGAGAGACAGAGACTGTCGCTGGTCCCTGCGTCCCCGCCCATCTCCTGCCACCGAGCCCATAGAAGGCAGCCGAGTCCCGCTCCCTCTCCAGCCAGCTCCTCGAGTCTCCTGCTCGCAGTTCTCACAGCTGTGCGTCCAGTCAGGCTTGGGCTCCAGAGGCAGCGCATGTAGGACTGAAGCAATCACATCTCCGTACGATAGGAAATGCTGCTGCGGCTGTGCCGGCTAAGGATATTGGACACAAAAATAACTTTCATCGTTTCCATGAATAGATCCGTTGGTTAAAGGTACATTAACGTTTTATGTGTGTGCTGTGACACACACACTCTCACACTCACGCGTACATGAAGAGAAGCATGCCTGAATGCTCTTCTGTCAGCTATGCCCTACTTCAGGTACAGTGGGGAAGTCTGGGCTATTTAAAATAATTTTGGGATAGAACCATTTTTAGACTTGAAGAATCCCCTGATAGAATTTATACAATTTTTTACAGTTCTTATTTGTATACTCATATGTCCATTCTTTAAAGTCTAAACTCTGTTTTGTTTTTTGTCTCTTTCTTTTTTTTTTTTTTTTTTTTTTTTTTTTTCCGG